CATGAATGTTTGGAGAGCAGACCTTACCCGGTAATCCTGGATGATCCCATTTTGCTCGGCAGGTGGAGGGGGTTCCCAGGATACACTAATGCTGGTACTGTTGCTGGTGCCCACTGTCACCACAGTAACTGCTTGAGGAGGAGCACTGGGGGCTGTGAGAGAGGGAACAGAGGGGTTAATTGCTCACATCTGCCCAGTGGTGCAGTGGCAAATTTGCAGGCATTCGTAATTCCTGCCAGTTTCCATAGCCATGACCTCTAGGACAGTCCAAAAAATTTTAGGCACCTAGGTTAAAAACCAGTTTCTATCAATTTTCTTCTCTACCAGAAGCGGGTCATTTGCAAAAACAGCAGGTCTTAGGTTCCCCTTGACATTTTTAGTCCAGTCGTGTCCAACTCTAGGGGGCGGTGCTCATCCCGTTTTCAAGCTGTAGAGCCAGCGCTTGTCCAAAGACAGTTTCCATTGGCACGTGGCCAGCGTGACTAGGGAACACCGTTTTACATTCCCACCGAGGTGGTCCCTATTTATCTACTCGCATTTGCATGCTTTCGAACTGCTAGGTTGCCGAGGAGCTGGAACAAAGTGATGGGTGCTCACTCCATCGCATGGATTCGATCTTACGACTGCTGGTCTTCTGACCCTGCAGCACAGAGGTCTCTGCGGTTTAGCCCGCAGCGCCACCACGTCCCTTAACAGGTCTTAATGGGTGTACCAAGACATGCTGTGGCAGTTATGGAAAAAGGCTGTGTAAAAACACACACAACCCAGATGTTTCCCTCATTAATTAGACTTTACACATGTATACTATATCAAGGATGGAGAATGTGCGGTCCTTTGGAATTCAAGCTTCCATACAGTGGTACCCCGCATGACGACGATAATTTGTACAGCGAAATCGTCATCATGCGAAAACAATTTCCCCATTGGAATGCACTGAAAACCGGTTAATGTGTTCCAATGGGGAAAATACCTTGTTGTCCTGTGAAGATCCTCCATAGGGCAGCCATTTTGAGAGCACCAATCAGCTGTTTCTAATCGCTGTCTTCTGAAGCATGGGTCCAGAAAACAGTGGGAAGCCATTTTGCGAAGCCGACGATCAGTTGTAAAGATCGTCATTTTGCGAATAAATGGTCCGCGAAGCACGGACCAAATCGGCGTGAAGCGGAATTCCCCCATTGAAATGCCTGTTTTGCGAATCACTATAGCGATTGCAAAAAGTCATTGTCCTGCAGTTTCATCATTTAGCAGTTTTGTCGTCATGCGGGGCTCCACTGTATTTCCTGCCACAAGGCAGCCACAATCCTTACAGTGCTCTCTAGCTGACCTTGTATGGTTACTTTCACCAGGAGGGAGTATGGCTGACAAGCGTGGGAGAACTGCTGATTCTAAGACTTAAAAAAAGATGGGGGTGGCGATGTAGAGTCAGAGCTTAGAAAATTTACTTCTCTGATTGCAAATCTCAGAATCCCACTGGCCATGCAGGGGAAGGCAGCCTAGGAATTAGAGAAACTTGTCCAAGTGAGGTAGAGTTAAAACTGTAAGCTTCTGGTTACAATCCCTTTGGAAATGAGATGTGTATGTGGTGGCTGAGAATGAGAGACACAATCTTCTCTTGCTTTCTGCATATACCTTCTTCTGGAGTGCGTACCAACAGCACCTCACTGTCCATGCCTTGGAACTCATCAAAATATGGGCGGATTTTGACCTCATACTCCTGGCCTTTATGCAGATTGACTAGGACGATGAGATGTGTATGTTGTGGTGGCTGAGAATGAGAGACACAATCTTCTCTTGCTTTCTGCATATACCTTCTTCTGGAGTGCGTACCAACAGCACCTCACTGTCCATGCCTTGGAACTCATCAAAATATGGGCGGATTTTGACCTCATACTCCTGGCCTTTATGCAGACTGACTAGGACTGTGCTCCGTTCAGCCGGGGACTTCACATCCTGCACCAGCCAGGCGCTCCCTTTGGGCCGGTACATTACTCGGTAGCCTTGGATGAACTGAGCCTGGCGGTCAACCTAAGTAAGAAGAAGACATTGCTGAGTCAACTAGCTGAGTATGGTACGCATGGCTTGGAACAAACACCTGCCCACCTACTCTCTCATTCTCCCTCTCTTCTTCTGAATCACTTACAGATTCTGAATTCTTCTATTTCTTTCTCTGAATCCGTCCCTTTCCTACTTTTCTGTTGTCTCAGGCAAAGCCCCCAGTCCCAGCATGGATAAGTTATTTCTGAACTACAACTCCCATGCTGGTGAGTGGATTCTGGAAGTTTTTCTCTAAAGAAGTAATCCGTCAAAGTTCTAAAACAGTTTTCCAGCCAACATTTCCTATGCCTTTTTCATAACATGAATGCTTTTTTTTAAAAAAACTTCAATTCCCAGAATCCGGCCCCCAGTCCCAGCACATTCATGCAGGACACCCAGAACATGGATAAATTATTTCTGAACTACAACTCCCATGCTGGTGAGTGGATTCTGGAAGTTTTTCTCTAAAGAAGTAATCCGTCAAAGTTCTAAAACAGTTTTCCAGCCAACATTTCCTATGCCTTTTTCATAACATGAATGCTTTTTTTTAAAAAAACTTCAATTCCCAGAATCCCCCAGTCCGCAGGGTTTTCCTTTGGTGCAAGGACTTCACTCTCCAGAGGCTGCTGGACTAGCATTCCTATCAGCTCTCATTACTGGCTTTGCTGGCTAGGGCCAATGGGAACTGCTGTTGAAAAACTTCTGGCCACATGATCCCCATCACTGTTTAGTTGCAACTTGGCCATTTCTGTGAAATCATTAAAAAAATTTTATTTGAAAACAGAGCCTCGTGGCGCAGTGGTTAAAACGCTGTACTGCAGCTAAAACTGTGCTCACGACCTGGGGTTCAAATCCCAGGTAGCCGGCTCAAGGTTGACTCAGCCTTCCATCTTTCCGAGGTCGGTAAAATGAGTACCCAGCTTGCTGGGGGGGCAATGTGTAGCCTGTATAATTAAAATTGTAAACCGCCCGGAGAGTGCTTGTAGCGCTATGGGGCGGTATATAAGTCCAAAAAAATAAAATAAAAAAAATAAATAAAACTATGTTACGTGCTGTCAAGTGGGAACATAAATAGAGAGACCCTAATAGGGCTTTCAAGCTAAGTAAGATACATAAGGAGCAGTTTTACCAGTTCCTCACACTCCTCCCAATCAGTTTTCATAGCCAAGAGGGATTCAAATACAGGTCATGCCATTAAAGGTTTCAGAAAAAAATACAGGTCTCCTGAGTCTTATTCTGTCACTTTATCCATTACACCACACTAGTGTTCCAAATTAAATGTGTGCTACTGTCACTTTTCTGCAACTGGGTGGAATACATCAAGAGAATATGAAAGCCCAGTTTGATCAAGCCCAAGATCTGTGTAATCTAGAATGCTGTTTTGCACAATGGTCAACCAGGTACCTCTGCTAGTCTAATAAGCAGGGCATGATGGCAAATACATCTCTTATACAATTCTCCAGCAACTGGTATCAAGCGCAATACTGCCTCTGATTCTGACAGCACAGCACAGCTTTCAGAACTAGTCGCTACTGGCACCTGTATCCTCCATAGCCAGCATCCTGTTCCATATTTACAAACACACAGCTCTGGAAGCTGCTGCAGGGACCCAACAATGTGCCAGTTGCTTGCCTGGTTGCCTAAGAGTGACACATCAACCAGATTCCTGCTGCAGTGTCTACAGTTGGTGCTCTCAGTTTTGTGAACACTGAACAAGTATTCTGGACAATGAAGCTCTATAAAGCGACCATCTTTGCCTAAAAGAGAACGGGAAATTTACAGCTCTCCAAGGCCTTGCTGAATCCTAAGTCCGGCCCATCTCTTACCATTGATCATTCACGCTGGCTATGGCTGACAGAAGGCAATGTTCAATAACACCTGGAGGACAAACTTATTCTTTGGTCTAACACAATCTGTTGATGTGCACCCTGCCATGTCAAGAAAAGAAATGAGCGACCCTGTTGGTACTCACCGTCCATGTCACTTGGATCGTGGTTGAGGTGAGCACGATGGGGTCCTGCAGCTGTACCACGACTTCTCCAAGTTCCTTTTGCACCTGCCGGTGGTCCACTCCTTGCCTGGTGGGACTCACATCTGCCAACAGATGTGAGAGAGGAAGAGGAGGACGTCACTAGCATGTAGGACCAAAGTCAATACTGGATGAAACATGTTCAACACAGGATGCTCTTTTTAAGACAATGCCCTTGTCTTTTTATGAGGCAACCACACTCCAACCGCTTGTATGAACTATAAACTAACATTTTGGCTAATGTGGCTGCATGATAGTAGTGTATATAGAACCTGTGTACTATTTAGCAGTTCATCCTCACAAAATGTACTGCAACCAATTAAAACCATGCAGATTTTGAAAAGTAGAAGATATATGTGCTTAACTTGCTTGAGGAGCTCTGTCCCCTTCTTCATGATTATTTGAAGGAGTTGAAATCAGAAACGTAACAGAAATGAACTCTGCATAAACAATAATGTTCCACATTTGCATAGCATTTCAGTCCCCAAAACAAAAACACTACCTGTAAGGAAGCTACTCATTGTCTTCCTATTATTAAAAAAATTATAGAAGGTGGAGAAATCTATTAACTTCCTGAATGACCTGATAATGGAGGAGAGGTTTTCAACCGGTGCTTTGCTGACGTGTTGCTCTGTCTCTAAGCCACCACTGGGGAAATACATCTGTCCGAAGATGTTATTATAATCCCTAACCCAACATGCCAGTGCATGGGAATCTCACCTTGTGTACGAACTGGCTCCGAGACAGGACTGGGATCACTCAAACCATAAGAATTGACAGCACGGATGAGGAACAGGTAAATGGTGTTGGGGTTCAAGCCACTAACTGTGTGCTTCTCCAGCTTCACATTGTCTGCCACTGTCTGCCAGGTGCTACCTGAAGATTGACTGAAATAGACCAGAAGAAGACAGGTAGGGTGTGGGCTTCACAACCCATCTTTGTAGCACCCACACACAGCTTTGGCAACATGCAGTGACAAGGAGTTCCATGGGCAGGGCATTATATAGGTTGGGATCACCTAGATCAGTTGTTCCCAACCTTGGGTAACCCAGGTGTTCTTGGACTGCAACTTCCAGAAACCCCAGCCAGCACAGCTAGGGGTGAAAGGCTTCTGGGAATTGCAGTCTAAGAACATCTGGGTCAGCCGAGATTGGGAACCATTGACCTAGACCAGCACAGAAGCAGCTGAACACAGGCAAGATAAGGCTTAGCTTGAGCTAAGGACTGACTTTTGGAACTTTCTTAAAATATTGTAACAAGACCATGTTTAAAGACCGGATCAGTGGTGGCATCTGATCTCCAGGGAAAAGTGTTCTTGTCTGCAAATTATGGCGAGAAGCAATGAAGACCTAGCGATCCTTTCTCATAGGGCTTCCGAGAGATGATACATCAAAGCGCTGCAGAGAACTGAAACTGGTGGGAGGCTTCTACATGCTTGCCACAGATGTCAGAACTGCTGCTGCTGCCTGCAGTCGCTTTCAGGCTACAAATCTGGGATATCATGAAGCATCAGATTGTTATGGGATTTTCTGCTTTTTCTGCCAAAATAATTTTGTTGGCTTTGAGTTCTATGAAACTTGCATTTGGAGATGAGAGGCACCACCTATTGTTCCACATCAGGCAATGAAATTCTTGGGGCCACCTCTAAGCTTGCTGGGAGAGAAAGATGCCACAATGTTTGGAGGACAGCAAAAGATGCTGCTTTGCCAGTGGGATCCCACACCTACAGTATCCTTGTACTAAAAAAAAAAATCCAAACAGCTTCTGAGCATGTGCAGGCTACATTTTCCTTACCATAAAAGAAGTACAGCACATTGCAGACGCATCCACACATGGGAGAGACAGAGTCCTGTGTCGCAGCCTCTACATCCATATGAGTCTTGTCTCTTTTCAGAATTAACTACGAGAACTAACCAGTGAGTTCTAGGCAGACCATATGGTGTCAGGAACAAGATCAAAATTAATACTCAGAGCTTGCAAGATGCAGAGTTCAATGTGGCCCCAATCCCAGGTCTTTGGCTCAATTTCTGATGGTAAACAGGAACTTGGGCTTGAGCCAAGTCTATTCATCTTGAAATTAAAATGTCCCCCTTAAGCCTTTGGCACTCCTTCCAGGATGTAGAGTTTCCTGTGGTCCATAAATGGAGAGATGGGAGCAATTTGTTTCTCACTGAAAGCCTGAAGTCTCTAGCTTGCAAGAGGGTGAAGCAGGATCTGACGTCAGGGTACAATCTACAGGAAGGTGGGGGAGGAGACTTGGCCCTCAAATCTTTGTTACCAGATGTCCCAGCCAGCAAGGGACTGTTGACCATGCCATCACTTGTAGTCTAAAATCTGGCAGGACAAAGATTCCAAAACTCTGGTCCATAAGGACAGTCAAGGTTAAGGGGAAAAATATTGTTTTTATATGACTTTAAGAATATATCTGAAACTCCCCTCCATTCAACAAGTTCTCAAGGTGATTTAAATAGACCATGAACAAAATAAAATATAACTCCAAGCAGAAACCAAAACACAGCAATGAAGCAGCAAATACCTTCTGCAATCAAAGCACAAATTGCAACAATAAAAGCTCAGTGGACTGGTGTAGATTTCACAAGTCACTCAAAGTCAGTCATTAAGGGAGTCAACCTAAATTGCTAGAGAAGGGGGTTCCATAGTCAGATTCAGGCCTCCTCTTGGGTTTTGCTAAATCTCGGCTCTGCAGGAGATGGGGCATATAACAAAGCCGCAGATGAAGAATGTGGTTTCTATGCAAGAGCAGCCTGCTTCTCAGCTTTTCTCCTTAAGGTGGGAAATCTTTGGCTTACCAGCCTTTTTTGTACTTCAAAAGACGCTGGTTGTTTTTCTATAGCATGTCCATTAAAGTGGGTGGGTTCTGGGCACCACTTGCTACTTCGCCTTCCAGAGATGCCACCCAGCACAGCCGATAGTAAAATATGGTAAGAACTGTATTCCAAAACATCTGGAGGGAGAAAGTCCCTCCATCCCTGGTTTAGGGCTTCATTGGTAAAAGCACTCCAGCACCTGAAGCTGAAACATCAGACTGTCCAGATGGCTTAAATGCATGGACACACAAGCCCATTTTAATGGTGACCTGACATCAGCTGCCTCACTGCCCCTTCACCTTGCAACTCCATGTCCCCCTACCCCCCACATATAAGTGGGCAAATGCACCATCAGCTTCTCAACAGTGATTTACTGCACAGCTTAGCTGTTTCTGTGTTTGCAGAATGTCTCACTGAGAAGTGAATCATTCCGCTCAGCCACCTGCGCTCCGCAAAAATCTCCATCCGCTCTGGAGCAGATGGCTCCAAGGTAGGTTTTGCTGGAAACTGCGAGCCATGTGCAGGAAGGAAGGAAAAAAAATGTTTATCTTCTCTCCAGGAGCACCTTAGCAACTTGGCCATAGGAAGGAAGAATTTGAGCCCGGGGGGAGTTTGGTCGTGTGCCACAGCCAGGAATCACAAACAGAGGCTTAACACAGATTCAGTGGGGTGACCAGGAACATGCTGACAGGGAAGCATTTGCACAGCTGCCTGGCTCTGCTCCTTTGACCTCCAAAAGCCCGGCTCCAGACAGACTTGGTAAAGCTCATGAATCAGAAAACAGATTTAGACCCTTACAAGAACCAAAAGCTTCCTCATCTGATCAAGAGGCAGAAGTCTCTCGCAGATAACAGGGAAGACAGACACACATGGCGATGTGTTTGCCTAGGACAGGAGTGGAGAATGTGTGAACCCAGATGTTGCTGGGTGCATCAGCCCTATACGGAATAGCTGGTGGCCCTTTCTTCGTTGATGCAAATGCCTTTCTCTTGAAGGCTTAAAAGTGCTCTAGCTATTGCTTTAATTTTAATCCTCAATTAAAATCTGGTTGATCAGCCAAGCATTTTAGTGAGATCATAGATTGGTTTTCATGATCCCTCACGGTTGAGTATTCTGGCTAGGAATGATGGGAACTGTAGTCCAGCAACAGATGGAAGTCCACAGGACTTGTAGATAAGGATATTACAGCTATGCTACATCAGCATCAGAAGAAGATTTAGAATCAGGTGAAGGAGCCCATGTGTGTTTCTGCCTTGGTATATATTTTCTTTTAATGACCTGAGTTTACGTTTCTACAGAGCAGTGGATAGTAATCAGCATTACTGATGCTGCAGTAATAGCTCGACATCCAGGTCCGATGGACAAATACATCTTGATTAGGATGAATTTAATATTAGGATAACCCATCCAACAATCTTGTCATGTCTTGCATCTTGTTCAATAGAGCCCCAGCAGGAATGACAAACACACACCAAGTAACTGGTAAATCACAGCCGAGATTCCTCACTGTCAAAGAATGACTAAAGTACTCTCCGTAAGATTATTGTGGCAACTTCATTGCTTCTCCAAAATTTGCAACACACCCACCTATCCTTCCATTCCCTCTTGCTGATGTTGTGGCAGGTGTATGATTAGGCAAAATGAGGCAGGGTGGCAGGAGCAATAAACTGTGCTACATCCTCTCCTCGGAGGACCCTTACCCCTGCACATCCACTCAAAACCCACTTGAGTTGTCATAAGCTGGTTCTGACCTGAAGGCACATCACACACACAAACAACAACAGCAGGTGTGAGAAAAGTTTGCACCAGTGGAGGATTCTGCAATTTGCATTGGTTACAGTGATTTAATAACTCCTGGAGCAGAATTTTCTGCCTCTGCCCTGCTGTAATCTTAGTGATAATCAACTTTCCCAGCTAATCTTATAGACGCCTCCAGATGGATGGGCAATGATGCCCACAATCATAAACTGTAAACTCAGTGACGGTGATTCCAACTTGACACCTGAGTGATGGCAGCGTAAAGAGCAGGAAAAGGAGTTTCTCTTATTCACTCAACCTGGGTAGCACAACTGTGCTCTCTGCCTACAGCAGCCACTAAGATACAGGGTCTCGACTACCATGTACTGGCCAGGGTTAATGACTGCTGGTAGATGAGGATCCCCAGCTTTTGCCTACTGACTATGCCGTGAGTGGGCTACTTTCCTCCCCCCCTCCATTTCTCATAGGCAATCTTGTCAGGAGGCTAAAATCAGCAGGCTGGAGCCAGAAATTAGTAGGCCCAGGTCCCTTTCTCTTGCTTTTCCTTTGGAAAATATCTTTCTCTCTTTCCCTCTCTCACTTCTTTCTAACAACCATTCCTCTCTCCTGCTTCACTCTTCCTGACAGCCCTTTTCCCATATAACCATGTCATCTCTCTTTACCCACCTTTTAAAAACTGTGTCTCCTCTCTCCCTTTAATATCTCTTTTTCTCTCTCTCTGAATTTTCTACAACTTCTTTCTTTGGACCCCCCCCCGCCCTGGCATGCCTTCTGCCACCAATGTTCCCTTTCCCCTTTACTCACGGTGCGCCTTCCTTCACAATCGCCCTTGCCAGAACTATGAATGGACAAATAGAGACCTTTTGGAATTAAGCCAAAGGACCTCATGCCGTTCTCAGGTCACAGGCTGCTAATCTGTGTGGACTAAACTATCAACTCTTTTTCACCCTCAAGTAATTTCTCTGTTTTGCGCTCCAGGAGATCTGGAAATGCGCCTTTCCAATAACACGGGAAGTTACCTGAATGCTTCAATTATGTATGAACTGACAGCGGCGCCCCCACTCACAGGGCTTGGCTTCCAGATCAAAGCAACACTGTTCTTGGTGACATCGGTGACCAGAGGCACAGAGGGTGGTCCCGGGAGAAGGCTGGGCTCCGGAAGCTGTGCTTGGAGATCAACCCCATTCTCTGGAGAAGCAAATGTGGGGAAAGGGTGTGTGAGAGAACATCAACCTACCCTTGAGGGAGCACTAACCAAATCAGCTACAAATGACTTTTACATCATTAATGGGATAAGTTCAGTCTTGTGTGGCTTCTTTCTTCTTCTTGTCTAACAAGCATCCTTGTTGTCCACTCAGAGCCATAACTAGAGTGGGCAACCAAGGCTTTGATCAAAGGCAGTTAAATTTGGAGGGTGCAAATATTTGCTGCTGAAAGGCATGAACTCACTCACCCTGAGGATATCTACCAGCTTCAGCAACTCGTATTTAGGCAAATGGAAACACAAGGCATGGCTATCACATGCTCAAATCTAGGATATACCAGCTCCAGCAGCTCGTATTTAGGCAAATGGAAACACAAAGCAGAAACAGCATGGCTATCACATGCTCAAATCTAGGATTCTTCATTCCTTATATGCCAGTTTCATTTGACCTAAGTTTAACTAATAGGATACTTAAACTCTGATGCAAAACCTCTAGTTACACCTCTGGATCCAGCTCTGCTGTTTCATATTTGCAAAGCAAAGATGCTCAGGACTCTTTAACCATTAGGGTTGGCTGGAGAGGCAACTTATTGTCCTCTGGATGTTGTTGGGCTGCATCGCCCCTAAACAGCATTGACAGGGATAAAAGATGATGGGATATGAAGGCCACCAATATCTGGAGGGCTGAAAGCTGCCCACTCACAGAACTCGGAAATATTATTTAACTTTGCCTCCCATGTTTCTCCAGCTGGCATGGCTACTGCCCTTTCTGGCTAGCAGATTCTGCAAGCTGAAGCCCAAATAAGTAAATTTCCGAAGCTCTTTTCGCTGCTGGGTGACATGTGTTAAGCCTTTGACCAAGGAGACATGGATTCAAATTCCTGTACAACCACAGAGGGTCCTTTCAGTCTAAGCTGTCATGCAGGGCGGTTGTGGAAAGTGTATAAAAAAGTGGAAAGGGGATGAAGTAGACACCATTCTCAACCTTTTGGGAGGAAAAGTGAAATAAATATGTGAATCTGTGGAAACTCTATCAACAACATACACATTTTTTTTAAAAAAAGAAAAGCCGGCTAGCCATTCCTTTGGCTGGAGAAAACAGGAAGGATTAGTCATTTAGGAAATGCTTCCACCAAACTAAGCTTCTGCTAAACCAGATCAGCCAGCTGCTGTGAGGTGAGGTTAAGGAAGGTCCATGCCACCAGACCACTGAAGGGAAAAAATTCTGTCGTCAATCAGGGAGACAGAGTCAGCCCTCGTAAAACTGCTCACGTTATTGCTATTGCTGTCACCGGTACTATTTTATGAATGGCTGTAGTTCCCAGATCCTTGGAAAGGGCGGGAAAGCTGGCATGTTTGTGGGTCTGCTTTTTCGCTGGGCTTTTAAGAGAGCTTGGTAAAGTCACTTCTGGAGATTGGGTTTTTCAGATTTCTCTAGACAGCTTGGGCATTGGTCTCTGGCCGGGAGATTCTGTGAAGTTGTAGTTTTTAAAACTAACTTTCCCAAGCTTTGGCGGTTTGTTTTCCAAAACCACTTGGGGGGGAAGAAGGAGAGCCACAAAGCCTTTGAAATTCCACTGTGAGGCCCAGGAAACCTAGCTCAGCAGTATGTCTTTTTCACCAACAGCATTCATTCCTTGAGACAGGTTTTTTTTTCCTTCCCCTTCCAATGTAACTGCCTGGCCCAGCCCTCGTCAGCAGCAGGAAACTGCTTGCTAGGCAAGAAATCAAGAGCATGGTTTATTGCTTTTACAACGAGCCATTCTCATCTATGGATTCAGGCAGGTCTCCTCCTCTTGAGTTTCAAGGTTAAAAGAAATCAGAGCATGGAATCATTACTCTTTTGAACTACACCACCCAGAATCCCCTGCCAGCATGGCCATTTGAAAAAGCAGGTGACTGTGTTTTAGGAATCCAATCTCTGAAAAAGCTACCAGACTGAATAATGTCATCAATCGCTCGCCTCGTTGCATGACAGGTAAACTGGGAACCAATGTCAGAGAATGGATATTATACCAAATACAGATGCATGCTTCTATTCAAATGCTGTTCTGGGTGATATAAAAAGGATCAAGTGACTTCGGAAAGAGACATTCATGCATTAGAAGGGAACTCAGTACTGTAAATGGGCAGACAGTCTTCATGGTAGTCCCCAAGGCCAAGCAGATTCCAGACAGGTAGGCACCTGGATACAGGAATGCCTTATTGATTGATTGATTGATTGATTGATTGATTTGTTTTGATTTGATTTGTATCATGCCCATCTGGTCTACACGACCACTCTGAGTGGCAGATGATCATCAACTCTGGCCAACAAAAAATCCCGATGTTCTGACCCCATGAGCCCTGGCTCCACTACACTCCTTCTTACCACAGGTGAGGCAAAGGGCCTAGTGAGACAAGGCTTTTAAAATAAAACTTTTACCTTTATTTAATTGATGTGTTTAAAAAATGCAGGTAGCATCAGCTGAGAAGGGGAGGCTACAAGAATGTCATCCAGGTGGCAGGCAGAGCGGGAGGGGGATTTAATTCTCTCTTCCTCTGCTGCAGTTCTGAGGAAGATCTCTCCATGAAAGAAATCCTCCTTTGACATTCCCACCATATGAAGAAGGGAGCAGGCATTTCACACGCTCATGTGAAAATGTAACACATACTTTTAAGAAGGAAACACAATGCCCTTGAGTCTCCACCCACACATTCCCTTGACGTGACTGACCTTGCACTAGAAGAGACCCACTCCATCTTGTTTCGCCGGTGGAGCTTGTAGCGATGCACACGTACAGTCCAGAGTCTGAAATCTGAAACATGCAGGAAGGGAGAATGTTATTGATCTCCACCCATGGCTTATTGCAGCTGTAAGAAGGAGCTTCGGGAGCATCTTCCTTCCTTTTTTCTCTCTGCAAAAGCGTTCCTTTTCTGAATATCATTGCAAAAGGCAGCTTTCTGAACCACAGCCCTTTTACTATTATGGTATATCCAAACCAGCAAGGGCAGACGCCATGCTAGCTGGGGGAGCCTGGGAGTTATAATCCAGAAAGGGAACTTCTCTAATCTCTGCCATTTTCCATGCACAATGATGTTTAACTACCAATACGCCATCCATCTTGTCTACTCTGACTGCCAACTATCTCAAAACTTTCTGATTGAGAATTTACTTATTCACCAAATTTCTTTGGCAAGGGTGCAGTCTTTAAAAATATAAAAATGGGACAATAGTAACATAAAACAATGCCTATAGAAGCAAAATGTAAAAATGTCAACAGAGAACAACACAAGTAATCATATTAAAGCCAACATAAACTCTATCATAGGATAAAAGTGTAGTGGCATCGTTTTCAGAGGTGTAGCTTTCAAATGCTTGGGAGAATAGAAAGATCTTCATCTGAAAAGGCCATCATGCAGAGACTCTTTAGAAAGGGCAATCTACAGATGGGTGTCGCCACTGAAAAGTTTATCTCTTATACCCAACAATCCACTTTGCCTTTTTTGTTGTTGTTGCGGCACCTAGAGGAGGGCTTTAGATAAAATGTTGGGGTCCACATATGGGAAGAAATGCTCGATCAGGTGGACCACACCCATTGGAAAAGGAATAGAAAGGGAAAGGAAAATATTCCAGGTGAATGACTGGCTTCGAAAGTGGTGTCAACATGAGAGATTTGGTTTTTGGGATCACAAGCTAAGCTTGATTCCAGGTGAATGACTGGCTACGAAAGTGGTGTCAACATATTTGGTTTTTGGGATCACAAGCTAAGCTTCCTGGAAGATGGACTGCTAGCGAGAGACAGCTTGCACCTAACAAGGACTGCGAAGAATGTGTTTGGCCACAGCATGAAGAACGTCATCAGGAGGGCTTTAAACTGAACTGGAAGGAGGGGGAAAAAACCAGCACAGAGGTAAAGATAGATGAAGCCTTCTGAACAGTAGAGGAATGGACCAAACAGTTCTAATGGCAGTCAAGAATAACATTAATAATCATATTCATAAAAATGTTCAAAGAAAAGCAGACCACAAATCACATAGTCTCCAGTGCCTCGTATATACAAATGCCAGGAGTATGGGAAACAAATAAGAAGAACTGGAAATTTTAGTTCAAGAGGGTAAATATGACTTGATAGGAATAACTCAAACTTGGTGGGAAGACTCCCATGACTGGACTACAGAAACTGAAGGGCATAAATTGTTCAAAAGAAACAGAAAGAATAGGCAGGGAGGAGACTGGTTGTCCCATTGAGAGCATCTGAATCAATTTACTTGTGGCAAAAAAACAAAAGAAGCATGGCAGTTGGACTCTGCTACCGACTGCCCAATCAAGGAAAGGATACAGATGAAACTTTTGGGAAAAAAATGGCAAGCATTTCAAAGAGACATGATACAGTAGTGTTGGGAGATTTCACTTATTCTGATATCTGTTGGATGGCAAATTCTGCCAAGTATGGCCCTTCCGAGAAATTCCTGGCTTATGTGGCTGATAAGCTTCTCCTAGAAAAAGTGGAGGAAAATACTAGAGGATTAGCTATCCTTGACATGATTCTACCAATACTGATGACTTGGTGCAAGAAGGAGCAGTAAGGGGAACTCTGGGTGAGAGTGACCATGTTCTACTAGAATTCCTGATTTCAAAGGAAATCAAAGCAGAGTGTAGCCACTCATAAGCTGGATTTTTAAAAAGCCAATTTTAATAAATTCAGGACAATGTTAAGTAATGGCAGGAGATCTTAACAAGGAAAGGAGTCCAAGATGGGTGGGAGTTTCTAAAAAAGGAAGTTCTAAAGGCACAACTAATGTGTGGCTTCACAAAAGCTCAGAGAGGACCTGAAAACTAAAAAAAAGGACATTATCTAGATACATTAAAAGCAACAAAAAAGGACATGTATAGGCAGTGGCAATGAGGGCCCGGCCACAAAGGAAGAATACAGAAAAGTAGCAAGGAACTGCACAGATGCATTAGGAGGGCAAAAGCTGAGAATGAGCTGATGTTATCTAGATACATTAAAAGCAACAAAAAAGCATTCTTCAGGTATGTGTGTAGCAAAAGACAAAGAAAACAAACTGTGGCTCAGCTACTCAGTGGAGATAGAAAAATGATAACAGAAGACAAAGTAAAGGCAGAAGTGCTCAACTCCTATTTAGCTCAGTCTTTTCACCAAATTATCCTCTAGGCAAATGTGAAGAGCAGGTGGAGGGGACAGGAGTGCAACTGGAGATAGATAACGAAATAGTCAAGGAATACCTTACTATCTTGAATGAGTTCATATCTCCAAAGCTGGTTGAATTGCATCTAAGTACAGTGGGGTCTCGACTTACGAACGGCTCGACATACGAACGTTTCGACTTACGAACCGTACTCATAGGAATATATGGACTTGACTTACGAACTTAGATTCGAGTTATGAACTCTTCCCCCCCCCCTTTTTAAAGCTAAGTCATCTTAGGTTTTCAGAGGATGATGGTTAATAGTGCCTTCTCAAACTGGGAGGAGGTAACAAGTGGGGTACCCAAGATTCAATCCTTGCTCCAGTGCTATTCAATATTTTTATTAATCATCTGGATCAGGGGATACAGGGAATACAAATCAAATTTTGGTTGACACAAAATTGGGTAGAATAGCCAATACTTGACACAAAATTGGGTGGATTAGCCAATACTCTGAAGATAGAAACAACATTCAAAAAAATCTGGATAGGCTTGAGCACTGGGCTGGAAATAATAGAATGAAATTTAACAGGGATAAGAGTGAAGTATTGAACCTAGGAAAAGGAAACCAAACACACAGTTACAAGATGGGGGATACCTGGCTCAGCAATACTATGAGCGAGAAGGATATTGGAATCACTGTAGATCCGAACTGAATATAAGCCAAGAGTGTGAAGTGGCTACAAAAAAGGCAAATGCTATTTTATGCTGCATTAACAGATGTACAGTCTCCAAATCCCATGAGGGAGGTACCTGTTCCCCTCTATTCAGCACTGATTAGGTCTCATATTCAGTACTGTTCTGGACCACACAATTAAAGAAGGATGCAGACAAACTGGCCCATGAGGGCAGTACCGGCTCCCCTCTATTCAGCACTGATTAGTTCTCATCTTCACTACTGTTCTGAACCCCACAATTAAAGAAGGATGCAGACAAACTGGAACCAGTTCAGAGTGCAACAAGGATGATCAAGAGACTGGAAACCAAGCCCTATTATGAAAGACTAAATGAACCGGGCATGTGTAGCCTTGAGAAAAGATGACGGAGGGCAGTACCGGCTCCCCTCTATTCAGCACTGATTAGTTCTCATCTTCACTACTGTTCTGAACCCCACAATTAAAGAAGGATGCAGACAAACTGGAACCAGTTCAGAGTGCAACAAGGATGATCAAGAGACTGGAAACCAAGCCCTATTATGAAAGACTAAATGAACCGGGCATGTGTAGCCTTGAGAAAAGATGACGGAGGGGGAGATATGAAAGCACTTTTCTAATATTTGAAAAGCTGTCATACAAAGGATGGGTAGGGTCTCTTCTCAATCATCCCAGAGTGCAGGACATGGAACAATGGGCTCAAGTTACAGGAAGCCAGATTTTGGTTGAGTATCAGGAAAAAACCTCCTAACTGTTAAGAGCAGGACAGCAATGGAACCACTTACCTTGAGAGGTGGCGAGTGCCCCAACACTGGAGAAATTTAGACAACCACCTGACAGATAGCCTTTGATTTATATTGGCCTTATAGGCCCCTTGCAACTTTATTATTCTATGATACTATGATTTAGAACCGCTGCAATTACTGTTGTTGCCAACTTTTTCTTGTCCTTGACCTTCTTCCTTGGTAGTGATGAGTATAACTGCAACACAAGACAGTGCCTTATACTATATCAGTCTGTTTCTCCAGCAGTGTTTATTCTAACTGACAGCAGCTCTCCTTTTCTTCTTCTGTGATCAGTCTGCTTCTCCAGCAGTGTTTATTCTGACAGCAGCTCTCCTTTTCTTCTTCTGTCAGTCACCTGATCATAGGAATGCAGTATAGTGGTGCCTCGCTTAACGACGATAATCCGTTCCAGGAAAATCGCCGTTAAGCGAAAACATCGTACAGCGAAATTTAAAAGCCAATTGAAACGCATTGAAACCTGTTCAATGCATTCCAATGGGGCAAAAACACATCGTCCAGCAAAGATCCTTCATACGGTGGCCATTTTCACTGCCTGTATAGCGAGGAATCTGCCCCTAAACACAGCGGGGAGCCATTTTAAGCACCCAGCAGCTATTTCGAAAACCCGACGATCAGCTGTTTTTGATCGTCATAAAGCGAAAATCAGTTCCTGAAGCAGGGAACTGATCATTGCTAAGCGAAATTCCCCCATTTAGAACATTGTTTTGCGATCAACAATTGCGATCGGAAAAAGATAGTCATACAGCGATTTCGTCGTAATGCGGGGCAATCGTCAAGAGAGGCACCACTGTACTGCCAACATGAGACTGTTAGGATCCTTCCTTAGCCCTTTCTAGAGATGGTAGGAATGGAACCAGAGACCTTCTGCATGGAAACCATGCGATCTGCCATTCCTTCCTTTCATGCTGATAGTAGCAGGGATGGAAGCTGGACCTTCTTCATGTAAAGCACATGTTATCCTGTGGAGTTACTGTCCTTCTCCAATCCCATGACCAAAGGTGGTGAAAGAGAGACTGCAAATGGCTTGTTGCACGTCATGCTGATAGTCTTGCCACGGGGCAGTAAGAATGCAGTGAAGGGGAAGCGAGGGGGATTGTTTTAATGTCCCCACCAGGTGGGCTCCAGAGCTGGGAGTCTGGCACTGCT